TATATATATATATATATATATATATATATACATTTTTTTGCTTAGCTAATTTGAATTCAATGCTGGCTGCTTAATATTAAAAGGTACTAAAAAAAAAGAGAAAGAAAAAAAAAATTGGTTTAACTTCTGCTCATAAATTGGAAAATAAAAATTTTCATTTTCATTTTGAGTCGATGTAATTATGTTGACGCTGCTTTATGGCAGAGACAGCAGCAGCAGCTAAATGTGCATGTGTGTGTGTGTGCGAGTCTAAGTGTGTAGAGCGTGAGAGATTTTATAGCAAATTAAATTTTATTAGCGCACAAGGTGCGCTGACATTCCCTTTAGCCGGGATTACGTGTTACAGCTCAAGTAGATTATGGAAAGGTGCAGAACTTTTAGCTATTGTGCTAAAGGGATTTTTCCCATCTATGTATGTAGGTGTGAATGTCGGTGTGTGTGCGTGGTTTGGGCTGCTGTCGTTTCGAGTAGTTGTCATTGTCATTGTCCTTATCAACGGCGACAACAAAAAAGAAAACTTTTGCAAAACATCTTACAAGTGCCAGGACATGCGTATAGACCAACAAAAAAAAAAAAAAAAACAAACACACAATTCTCTATGCCAGTTTCAGGTAAGCTGTGCTCTATCTCTCTCTCTCTCTTTATCTATATTATGTAACCTTTAGCTGGCGGCATAATGATGAGTTTTGCTTTTGCCCAGAGACTCGAAGGCTAAAAACTCGTAAATACCTTCATTATCGTTAAATCATGCTGAGAGCTGAACTCTTGCCCCCAACAGCTACATACATACATATGTACGTGAACCATATGAACCGTTTCTGAACCCGAGCCCAAACCCAAACCCGTAGTCGAACCTAAACCAACATGCAGTCTCTGCCTTTTATATGCCCTTTATTTCACTGGAGCTGGAGCTTTGTGCCTGGGCTCATGTGGACTTTTAAATAGATTTAAATGCGCATTTAAATGAAATAAATGAACAAAGCATTTGCCCTGGCAGCGGCCTCTCAGCTTGCCGGCTGATAATTTAGACGAGTGCCCATGCACACACACACACACACACACACACACACACATCAGATCTCACAGCTTGTCCAGGTTTTCTTTTCTTTTTATAAAATTTTTCCAAGTTACATTTTGTGTTTTTTTGATTCATGAGCAGCGCGAAAGAGCGAGGAAATTTTTTGTTTTTGTTTGTTGGTAATGGCCAAAGTTTCGCTACATTTGAACATTTACGCCTAATAAACTAGCAAATTAATATACAATCGCATTGCGGCCGTACAATTAACTGCTCGACTAGCGCATACCCTGGGCACATCAAACTCACATTCGCTGGGGAGTCGAAGTGTCTGTCATTAGCCACGCCCACAATTGAGCAGTGCCCTCTGTCTGTCTGTCTGTCTGCGTTTATTTATAGGTTTCTCTACCTTAGCTAACTTTTTGGCATCATAAAAACGCAATTAGATGAAATTTATTATGATTTCTTGCTGCTTGCCTTGGAAGGGCGTCAAATGTTAATTACAAATATTCATAAATTACGCTGAGCGAGTGACGTCACAGGCGCCATAATGACTTATGTGAAACGCGCACACACACACACACACGCATATGTGTGTGCGTGTGTGTGTTAGAGTAAAACAAATTTTAATTAAAAACTCAATTCGCTGAAAAGTTGTGCTAAAACTTTTCGCCTTTTGCCAGCCAGATAGACGAAGAGCACGAGCGTGAGCGAGAGAGAACGACAACTTAAGAGAGCAGCCCTTGCTGCTCTGCCTGCACCTGTTTATATGCTCGGTGGCAGCCAATTTAAGAACTTAACTCGCTAAATGTAAAAATAATTGCCACTAAAACCCCAAAAAACCAAAAGTTTTCTATGCACAAATAGCAAAAGTTTAGCTATCAAATGAACATGAATGCACAATGTGCCTAACTCTCTCTCTCTCTCTCTCTCTCTCTGTGTGTGTGTGTGTGTGTGCATATGCCTGATTTAGTTATGCATTCATTTTGCTTTATGAACTTTTCATGGCTGAGTGCGTGTGTGTGTGTGTGTGTGTGTGTGTGTGTGTGTGTGTGACCAATTGGATTTCTTATGAATGCAACTTTTTGACTTTGTGTGGTCAAATGGCTTGCCAAAAAAGTTAAAAAGTTAATACGCTTCAGGCACAAATTCTGCCAACTCAGCCTCTGCGCCTTCAAAACTATTTGCTCAGATATTAATAGAGACAAAGTGTTAATAGAGACAGTTACTTGTAAAAGTGTTCGTTGAGTTAACGAAAATATAGGACCACGGGGCAAAAAGCTGTCGTTGTCAACCCTAATATTTCGTCAATCGAGATCGAAAATCTATAATGGAAATATTGTTCTATACAAATATAGATATTTGTTACCGTAATAAAATTGTACTAGAACTTAAAAGCCAATATACAGCATATTAATAAACAAATTTTTTAAAATTGAAATCAAATGATACCCTGATTTGATCTATCGATATCAATGTATCGATAAAATTTCTAATTAAACTCTAAACTCTAAATATATCTAAATATATCATATAGATGATATTTTGGTTTGCATAACCAACGAAAAAAACTAGTGATAACTCTGTAATATTATGGATCATTACAGTTTATGGCTAACATATAATCTGATAAATTAATACAGCCGAGGAGTCACGATAATTTGTACCTCGGCAAATTGAAAAATCGAAAAATCACTTTGAAAGAAATGCGTGCTCCATAATTCTCGACAATTTGTAGTTCTATATAAGTCGAATTATAGGGATTCCACTATATATATATTTACTTAACATGGCTTATCTATGAGGAAGCTTCTGTTTAGTTTCAGCTGCCGTAATCGATGACAAATCAGGATTTAGGCATCGATAGATACTCTTTTGGCTGAGCTCATATATCATATACAATTAGCTATTACTCACAATCTATGTGGTGTACGTGCAGTTGAGCTTGAGCAAAGCGAACTTTGTGTGCAGAGTCGAGAAAGCGAGAGAGAGAGAGAGAGAGAGAGATAATAATGTATTAACCGATAAGGCTAATAAAATTACTTCTTGTAATCTGTGATAGATAGCAAGCAGGTGAGACAGAGAGAGAGAGAGAGAGAGAGAGAGGGAGAGAGAGGGAGAGAGAGAGCGCTGATAAGTAATAACTATCTGTCGCTGCTCGCTCAGCAAAACAGGCGGGTATATCAGTTGACTTTTGATGTCGTGATATAGTTATTATGGGACCACTTACCTGACACCACTTCCAGTCATAGAGTCTTGCCTATCGATTCTTTGGAAACCAAAAATATTGAAAATCAATCGTTATCTGCATCATAAAACAATTTCTCTCTCAAAATGAGATAATGGGAGGCAACCTGTGATTTGGGGCTGATAAAAATAACTTTTGCTTATGCTCGTTCACAAGAGAAATGGGTATAGATCTATACATAAATATTTACATTGCTTTGCTTATGCTTGCTCGATAAGTAAAACGAGCTAATTTGTAAAATATTATAGAATGGAAAGATATTAGCTCAAACTCGATGAGATATAAAATATATTCTATGTTATAAGGATTTAAGTTTCAACTGAACCCTCTTTTAGTATATATATTTTATCGATATCATAGCTGGATGAAATGTGACGACACTTTCTATGGCTATCAGTCCGAGCGAGTATTACACAGTCTATATGCTATAATTGATGGAAATTTGTGATCTTCTGTAGAGTGAGCGAGTATTACGCAGTCAGTAACAGTTGATAAGAGTAATCGACATGTATTTCGCTGTTGGAGCAATCCGAATTTCAGTCAGTCTTCATTCGCCGATTCGTAATGTTAACCAAACAGCATTGCCTGATCGCTAGTGGCCCGATAGCCATGGGCTTGGCCCTAGCTACATTTGCCATAGATTTAAGCTATTCCTATAGGGATTGTAAGTAACCGATGTATATGTATATACATATATCCTCAAATATATATATATAATGCGGATTGGTTGATTAATTGTTGAACATTTAAATGTAGATGCCGCGTTTCTCAATATTTTGCGTTGCCTGCAGTTGATGGCAACCATTTCGCTGCTCTTTGGCCTGCTGAAGAAGGATGCGCTGCATAAGGATAAATTTGTGCTCTTTTGGCTAATTGTGTCAAGTTTTTTGTTCAGTTTCCTCTGCTACTTTTGTATTATTTATATTGGTGGAGAACTATTCGACTTTTACGATTTTATTGACTTTGTGGGGCAATTCTTTCTGCTTTGCCTCATTGTGGGCCTAACAGGTAAGTCGTTCAGTTGAGTTCAGATTGAGGCTCAAAGTCTTCCAATTGATAATCGCAATTACTGAATATCTGAAACATCTTTGTTGCAGTTCTTATGGGCTATTTACTGTATTTCGTCTATCAGAAATATGTGGAGTTGTGCAAGGACATCGCAGAGGCAGCTGCAGCACAAGTTCAAGTACCAAATCCAATTGTTCAAAGCAAGGATCCGTTGCCTTCGTACGATCAATTAAATGTAACCATACAGAATTAATATGAGCCAAAGTTGATTTTCAACAAAAGGCGCAATAAAGTTGATAAGTAATCGAAGAACGAGAGTGAGAGAGAGAGAGAGAGAGGGAGTGAGCTGGAGTGAAAGAGAGTAAACAATCAAATAAAGATAAGCATACTATCAGCTATATACAAATATTGATTTACACTTATCACTGAGTTTAGTTAGCTTTGAAACGTTGTATCGCCATGTTTTCGCTCAAGCGATATATGGAAATTGGCATTGGCCTAGCCGTATTTGGCCTGACAATGGCCACAAATGCGCTGCCTTATCGCTGTAAGATCCACACACATATTATATACTACTAGACTGATATCGAGTGTAAGCTCAATTTCTATTTAGGGAATTTCAAATTGGAGGAAATACGCCTATTGCAATTTGCGGCCACTATGGCTCTGCTATTTGGTGTGCTGAAGGCACATAGCCAGCACAAGGATAAATTTCAGATATTTTGGATGATCGTAACCTCGATCACACTCATCGCCCTGCTGTATGCGGGCTTGCAGGAAGTCGTCAAGCATTACTCACTGCTGGGCAGCACTTTGGCCTGGTCTATTGCCTGTGAGTTGGCTAAATTGGCTAAACTTTCTATTTATATGTGTATAAATATATAATAATATTTGCTTTTTAAGTGCTCGTTGGGGGTCTGCTGAACATCATGTACAATCATTATGTGGAAACAACTATTGAGGCCGCGGAGAGCAGCACTGAGATACTGCAAACGCATCAGCCGCCTACGCTGAGTGCCAAGGGCCCGATAAACTCCTTTGTTTATGGATAATTGGCCTAAATGGAATTCCATCATATTTATTGCGAATAAAAATACAAATTTAAAGCTTGAATCGAGCGATAATTAAGCAGGGTGTTTAGATAGAAATGAGCTTTCGAAGAGCAGGTGGCATGCGGCATGCGGCATGCTTGCCCTTTTGCATTAATTTTAATTAAAAATTGTCTATTCCCATGCCACTTGATGCTCTAAAGTGGAGCTGAGTCCAAGTTTTCTTCAATTTGCATTTGGCCAAAGGCAAAGCCAAAACCAAAGGCAAAACCAAAACGGAAGCCCAATGCCAAACAGCAATGCTTAAATTTATGTTATCTAAATTGAATTCGTATGCTGGGCAAGTGTGACCGGAGAAGTTGTTTAATTTGTGGCGGTAACAATTATTTTAATTTGCTCATTTCCAAGGCAAAAAAACAAAAAAAAAAAACCTTAAAAAAAGTAACAATGAAAGAAAAAGCACTACAACTTTTCTAATATGCGCGACAAACTGTAAGAAACAACAACAACAGCAACTTGAACAAAAATAAAAATAAAAGTAAACACAAGCACAATTATTCCCGGAAGTGCTTGAAAGTTGAATTTAGCGAAATGAACCCGAATAAAGTTGAAATCTCCCAGGCGTAAATAAACTGGCGCTCAACTAGCGCCATCTATTGTTTGGCAGCGCAAACTGCTTGCACTCATTTGCCTTAATACATACTTATTTGTGTAAGTATATAGCAATTCTTAAAGCAATTTATTAGGGAATACGCCTTTATATTAGTATTAATTATATTTATATATATATATTCTTTTTGTAGTTAATATTTATATATATTTAAAAAAAAAATTAATTTGTGTTTTGCGAAACTTTTGCTTTATTACTAATGTTTATATATTTATTTATTATTTTCTTTTTCGTGTTCTCCTTTTTGTTTTGTTGTCTTATCAGACGTTCATGTTTATTGCGTCAGCTTAACAATCATAATATCGAATATACGTCAACTGGATTGAGGTGATTTTCGGTGCACGCGTGTCTAATCGTGTATATTTCGCACCTGAATGTAATTTGTTCGAAAGCTAACTAGCGAAGCTTTTAAATGTTGAAGGGGTGTTAATTAACTTTCTCTCTCGCTCTATCTCAAGCTAACTCTCTTTTAATCTATAAATCTGTTTCCATATCTCTCTCTCTCTCTCAATCTTACTTTCTCTAAAGTAAATCTCGTTCACTCTCTCTCTCTCTCTCTCTCCCTCTTTCTCTGTCTCTATCTGTCTATCAATTTATCTATCTCTCTATTCTGCTTTAAGTTCTTATCTCTTTCTAAATTCACTCCTTTTCTTGTCATTACCCGATTACTTTATTATACTTTTTTTATATCTCTCTCCCTCTGTCTCTCATTCTCACTCTCACTCTCTCTCTCTCTCTCTCTCTCTCTCACTCTCTCTCCCTGTCTATCTATTATAAAACAATAATATCTAATCGATTCTCCTCTCTGCATATACTTTGATTCTTAATATTGTGCAACGAGACATTTGTCATTTGGAGCTGCTGCATTATTGCGAATATGTCAAATCATTGAGATAAAATAACGGCAACAGCATTTGAGCACGTATTTATGTGGCTAAAGCGTGGCATAAAAATATCATATTAAGCTGGCATTAAAATCATGGCCTGTCTATGCAGGCTAAGGCTAAGGCGCGAGGATGACAGCACAGGCAAAAAAAAACAATTCGAAATCGACACAGTAATAAGAAGAATCCAATGGGCGACTGTCAGAGAGAGAGCGAGAGAGAAAGGGAGAGAGAGAGAGAGAGAGGGAGGGAGAGAGAGAGAGAGAGAGAGCTAATGGCCCAGGCCATGATCACACATACTGTATGTGTGTGTGTGTTTCAATATGAGCAGCACGTGCCGCAGGCCAACAATGAACCCAACATGAAGTCTTTCTCACACTCCCACTCTCCCTCTCTCTCTCTCTTGTTCTCTCCCTCTGTTGTCTGCTTCGAGTACTTATGCAAATAATTTACATGGTTTTGTGAGTCGCGCCTAGTGGCCAGCAGTTGGCTCAATAAGCCTCTATATGTTTGCTTACCAGTTTAGCTGTTGCCTTAAATTTCAGCTTAAAGCTGATGCGGATGCGAATGCGGATGCGGATGCGGATGCGAATGCGGATGCGAATGCGGATGCTGTAGCAGTGCCAGTGCTCCAGTTCGATGAGTCTGCGGCTCATCGATTAGCCATGGCTACAAACAATTCATTAGCCGTTGACAGCTCAAGCCGCCAATTGACAAGGCCCACTCAAAATATGGCCAGCGCACGATGATGAGCCGCGGCCATTTGGCCTGATTGGCACCCATTAACAATGGCCAAGTGGCGTGGCATGGCGTGGCGTGGCGTGGCGTTCAAGAGAGTGCGCGACAATTGAATGCCATCAAATTAAAGCTGGTTACAAACAAGCAGCTGCCAGAGCTGCTTGATATGGCCATAAATTGTTAGCCAGGCAGCTGACAGTTAATAGAGGTCAGCTCTAAGCAACACACAAGGCTAACATGCTAAGCAGCAAATGCGATGCGCGATTATCTTAATTTATGCACAAGTGGCCAACGGCTAGTTGTTCGAGCATGTATGTGTGTGTGTGTGTGTGTGTGTGTGTGTGCAGCTGGCAAAATAAATATAAATTGCAAAAACTGTCAAAGCCAAAAACCCAGAAAGATGGAGAATGCAATGTAAAACGCTTAAAGGCAAAACTGACTGGACGCTTGTGTAAGAGTGTGCGTGTGTGTGTGTGCATGTATGTGTGCTTTTGGCACAATAAAGAAATTTTTATCGCTGCCGCATTTAGACATTTGAAGTATGCGCTGCAAAATTTATTGTTGCCCCGTTTTTAGCTTGTGTTTCAATACAAAACCGATAAGGCACATACACAACTACACACACACAGACACAGACACAGACACAGAGACATACACATATATCCATTCGACCCCCAACGCTTGACGTCTTGGAATTTCAATTTCCATTTTGAGCTTTAAACAAAAACTTTGCGTACTTTGGCCATTTGATTTTCCATCAGAACTTAAGCTTGGTCCAGCTTATCAGCAAATGGGGCGTGGCAGTGATGTGAGGTACAGAGGCTGCTTTCTACCTGTTGAAAAATAGTTTTCCCATACCAATTTTCTAAATGCACGCCAAACGTCAAATGCAACAAATGATGAGACGCAGCGCAGCAAAAGACCCGAGGGGCAAATGAAAGATAACGTAGATGGAGGCAGAGAGGGAGTGGGAGGGAGTAAGGGTGAGAGTGGGAGAGGGACGGGCGTGAGGGGCGTGACAGAAAGCCAAGCGACAGAACTGTCATTGATTGTCACACATTGTGAGCCAGGGGGAAATGCGCTCTATCATGCTCCCTATCTCGCTCGCTCGCTCTCCCTCCCTCTCTCTCTTACACTCTCTCTTTGTAATTGTGCGTGTTGCAGCTGCTGCTGCTGCTCTCGCTTATGGCTAGCAGCAATCAGCTTCTAAATATCGCATGGCCTCAACATTTGTTAAACAATGCGAATGCTCCCCAAAGTGCTTCAATAATGCAAACGCAATGCGCTATAGGAACAAAGGAAAGGCAAACAGCAAAACAAAATAAAAATATGGAGAAAAATGAACGTAGCTGACCATCAATGCATTTCCTGCCAAATGTTCTAATAACAGTGACAGCAGCTGCTACTGCGCCTGCTACCTGCTGCAGCGTGACGTCAATGCAAATTGTTGAGCAACGTTGCGTATACGCAATATGTGCCCAAATTTATGACAAAGGAAGGGCTTTAACTTCTTGTTTTGATCAATTTTTTATTGCATTTTCATCATTATTCAGAAACGTAAATAGCAATGATGATAAAAATTATATTTACAAAATTAAATTTTTTTGTATTTATTTTATTTTGGTATAGAATTATTTAAAGCTGCTTGGCAAACGAATTTTATTTATTTTTTTTTAATGATTATTATTAGATTTATTATAAAAATATATATAAATTAAATATATCAAAGTATTTAATTTATATATATTTTTATATATTTAATATAAACATTTAATTAAAAATTTAATTAGGAATTTTAAATGTTTGTTTATTTTTTTTTTTTTTAGTGGCAACCTAAGGGATATGCATGATAATAATAACAATGCATACAATTAATTAAATAAAAAAATAAATAAATTGCTAGTTTCAGTATTTACAAATGCTTTCAGTAGGATTTGTGCTTAGATAATTTTTCATTAAAATTTATAGCTCCAAAAAGTATGCTACACTTTTTAAATTACACACAAAATAATAGCCCCAAAATAAACCAAAACAAAATAAAACCAATATCTCACACCACTAATCATTCCCTTGCCATTTAATTTCCTGCCACGCCCATTGGCTCATCCTGTGCAGGAAAAAAAAAAAGAAACAAACAACGAGCTGTAATTAATTTCTTTTATAGCCCTGCCACATTTAACTAACAATTTCAGTGTTTTGCCTATTATTTTAATGGACTTGGCTTATAAACGTAGAGCGAGGCAGAGTTTCTATATAAATATTTTTTTTTTTTTTTGTTTAGCAGCTGCGCTTGGCCAAGTGCGCTTTATTAACTTGTTTTTTGTGCCCAACTGCACAAGGTAAATGCGCTATATAAAAGTTGCTGCTGTTGTTGTTGTTGCTGCTGCTGTCGGGGTCATTGTCTCTTTGACCAGACACCAAAGTGCCAGGCAGCGTCTGTTGGACGAGCGCGCGTGTGAATCCTTTTACGTTCATTGTATGTACGTGTGCGTGTGTGTGTGTGTGTATAGAATTTGTATGCCCTGCGTGTGCGAATAATACACACACAAAAAAAGGGCAACGGCACCACCCACTGCCATCTCTGGGGCATAATTTGCGTTTAATGAATTGTGCAAAAAAAGATTTTTATTCACTTAGCACACACACACACATACCCACACACACGCACACATATAAGGACAGCACATGTGTATGGCAGAGGGTAGAGCATAAGCCGCTTAGCCAATATCATTTTTGGGCCAAGCAAATTGAAGGCACTCGC